ACCATGACTTACAGACTGTAGTGACTGAATTCACATGTGATAAATCAGAACTAAATATATATCACATTATAATTTTGTTCAGTGTACAAACCCTCTGTGTCTGTGAGTGTCTTTATATGAGTGAGACTGACCGTAAACGTCATGACTGAAGGCATTTAAAGAAAGATGTATTTAATTCCAGTGTAGGCAGCCTAGGTTTCTCCAGATGCTTAAGAGTTTATTTCCTATTAGTTCCAGCCTGTGTGGCCAATGGCAAGCAATGTGAATGTTGTGACTCAAAATATTTTGAGGGCTTCAGATTGCCTATTGTAGCACATTAAGTGGATTATACAGTCAAAGTCAGGGGTAGTCAACCTTGGCTCTTTTATGACTCGTGGACTTCAACTCCCAGAATTCCTGAGCCAGCTAAGCTGGCTCAGGAATTCTAGGAATTGAAGTCCATGAGTCATAAAAGAGCCAAGGTTGACTACCCCTGGTCAAAGTCAAGGCTGGCCATGTTAACTGCATGGCCCACATGATTGAAGCTGTGATGGGTTTCTGTGTGCATTACCCAATGTTGCTTTTTTTGACCCTGTCCTGAATCATCATATCTCCAGTATATCCTAATTTTCAAAAATGCATTTCCCAACCCATCTTTTCCTTTTTTTTTAACTGCTTATTTTATTTTATCAATTTCCACCTTTTTAAAGAGACAACACACGTGTTTATGTCCTTTAAATCAGAGGTCCCCAACCTTTTGGGCACCAGGGACTGGTTCCGTGGAGAAAGGTTTTTCTGTGGACCGGAGCGTGTGTGGTTTTGTTTGCTGCCTGCATCCCATGGATGGGACTTTGCTTTTTTGTGCGGCCTGGTTGCTGGCATGATGCAGCCTGGTACCGTTCCACAGTCCGGGGGTTGGGAACCCCTGCTTTAAATAATTTGGTACTTCAGTATTATTGTTTTCTTTCTTTCTGAGTATGAGTATTTGAATACTGCTCAGCTTCAGTTGCTTTTCAATTTATTATACCTGGGACCAAAAAACGGAGCCTTTAGGACAGGGGTGTCAAACTGCCGGCCCATGGGCCGGATGCATCACGTGGAAGCCACGCCCACCCCATTGCCGGCAATGGCAAAATCAGCCCGATACGTTGCGCGACGTCACGTGACGTCGCGACTTTGACATGCCTGCTTTAGGAGAATACTAAGTCTTAAACTACTGATTTAATCCCATTTCTTCTCTTCCCCCTTCCAAATCTTTTATTATCCTTGCCAATATTCCTCTTTTTCTATTTAGAGGCTAATCATTCAGGAAATGAATAACTGCAGTGAGTTCTCCACTTCTGTCTTTTGTCTAAATTTAAGCTTTTTTTTTTAAGTGACTGGTTTAAAATAGCCTATTGGGTGCCTGTCATCCACATACTCTGTAATTCTGGGTCAGAGATCCTTGTCCTGGTTGCAAAGGGATTTATAAGTATGCTAGAAAGAAAGATGTTTGTAAACTACCTTACCTTACTTCAAAATGCATACAGTCCTTAATAGTGACAGAGTTAAGAATTGTTTGAGTAATCTTTGCTGTCATCTCTTGGGCATCTGAGTGTTGGCCATCCAGCTAGCCTAACTCAGAGGATTTGAAAAGTTTGGTCTTAAATAATTAAGCTGCCATTCAACATTTTCAGTACAACATCATTGCTGATCTTATGGGCACCTGTAAAACTGCCTATACAAGTAGTTCTTGTTTAACAACTGCCTTGTTTAATGATCATTTGCAATTACAGCGGTGATGTAAAAAGTAACTTTACAACTAATCTTTGTGATTATGACCTTTTCAGGTCTGGTCTGTAAAGCAAAGGAGAGCTGAAGTAATATCATAAGCACATTATGGTTTCACTTAATAATTGCTTCGCCTAATGACCAAATTACCTTTAGTTTTTGTTTTACTAATTTTTCATAGAAGTCTGGAAGGTTGCATTTCTGTTGTGACAGGTCTTGGGCCTACCTGGTTGAAAGGGTTTTAGAGGTATGAGACCTTTTTTTTTTTTAATAAGGCATGTGCTGCTGATTATATTGTATTCTATTATTTTAAAATTGTGTGTTTTTAATTATACTACATATCTAAAGATTACTGCCAGTGTTGTTAGGGACAAAGACTGTAATTCCCCCCCCACACACACACACATTTTCAGTGTATTGCTGTCTAAAAACAATACAGTGAAATTTTATATACAGTAGCAGGCTATTTGAGGGAAGGGGTGTTTGTTAAATATGAATGTATATTATTTGGATCAATTGACATTTTACATCATTATGTAATCACATAAGTGACATATAATAAACTAAACCTAATGACATAATTTATATAAATTGTCTGATTTGAGAAATAGAACATGTCAAAGCCAGGGAGATCAGGATGTTTGGTCAACAGAAATTATATTATGTTTAATACCATTTCTGTTTTCAAAATACCTTCTACATTTAAACAAAATGCTAAATGAACATCTGGATGGTCTATCGAATATTGTACTCAAAGCTACTGGTACACGATGAATTTTAAAGATACATTAAAATGCTTTATGCACTTAAAATGCATCTTAAGAAAATTAAATATGGTTTGTCTAATCCACATAGGAATCCTAAGCATAATCAGTCTGATATGCTTCTAGTTACTGCATTTATATAAACCGCTACCACCTCAGTATAACAAAAAATACTTACATTTAAGTGGCTATAAATATTTTTTCAGGATTTGTTGGCTGTAGGATATGAATTCAACAAACCATTGCAGCTATGGAAAAAACACCCTGAAACTTGTAGTTAAATAAGAAAATTGTGGTTTGCTGCAGGGACTGTTTTTTCTATTAACAGGAAGTGAAACAGATTTAACTTTAGATTTGCAGTTTTCACATTTAGGCATAAAATGGTTGCAGAAAAAACAACTTTTTCTACAGGGAAGATTGGTAGCAAAATGTATAATGCTAAAATACTGAAAACTTCGGCTGATACTACCGGTAATTGATGGAAGGGTTGTTAAAGTTTTAGTACAAGAATGAGAAAAATGTGACTGCAGAGCAAGCCACTGTAATATTGTAAATCAAGCTTTTAGGTTGATTGTCTTTAGGAAAGAGATAATATGGAACAGATCTGAGTTAGATATTACATTTTGTATTGATCAAATTGCTGATTAAATCTTAGTAATAGAATGACAGGGGTTGATATATGGCATTCCTCACCAACACCATAATTCATTTCCTTTCAGAGAAGTTTTTTTTTGCAATCTGAAAACTCCTCCATGCTGCTATTAGACATAAGAATAATGTATAGAGCAGCTGCAAGATGCAGCCAAGAGAAATGATTCATTTCTTTCCCTTCCCACCCCTTCCCAATAACAGTTCAAAAGACCCTGGTATTGTTCTGAAAGTCTTTTTTACTTGTTCCTTTTGGCTAGTCCCCAAAGAATAGGATGATCTGCTTGATATTACCTAGATCAATGTGTCTGATCCTCAGCATCTTTAAGATGTGTGGACTTCAACTCCCAGAATTCCTCAGCTAGCATGGAGGATTCTGGGAATTGAAGTTCACAAATCTTAAAGTTGCTAAGGTTCAGAAACACTGATCTGGACCATGTTTTATTTACAACGCTCCCACACACCAAACTTCTACTTTTCAAGATGTAGATCAGGGGTCTTCAAACTTGGCCCTTTTATGACTTGTGGACTTCAACTCCCAGAATTCCTCAGCCAGGCATGCTGGCTGAGGAATTCTGGGAGTTGAAGTCCACAAGTCATAAAAGGGACAAGTTTGAAGACCCCTGATGTAGATCAAATTTACTTTCTCTGTGCGATTTACAATATTTTTTGGGAAGAGATGGGAATAAACTATAGCCTGGCTGTCTCTAAATATTCAGTGTTGGAAATATTTAATGCATATATATTTTCCATCCATTTCCCAAGAGTACACATCTGGATTTTTTGGAACATTATTTATATGCTGCCTATCTCACAAAACAGTGAGTGCAGTAAAACAGTAATTACAAAAAACACGCCACTATTAAGACATTATGAAAGACTGAATATGAATTCTCATGGGTCTTCAACCCAAAAGCTCATTCCTTTCTAAAGCTTTTACATTTCTGAGGTGCCCTTTTTTTTTTAATGGTAAGTAATTCTAGCTGTTAGCGCTGAAAGTTAGGTCATCCATTTCTTAAGCATACTGCTGGTGGAATAATAAAAAGGATAAAATTGCCTTTAAGCTTGTTGGTTTTGGTTTACCTCCTTGGTTCTATAGCACGTAGGGGTTTTGGACTGTTCTTATCTTTTCTTTCCCTCAAGCAACTCATCATTGTTCATCCTTCCCTTCTCTGAATTTTATCTTTTATGGCAAACTTGTAAAGTAGATTAGACTGAGAATTTGAGACTGACCTTCACTAGCAACATAGCTAAATGGAGATTTTTTTTAATCTAGATCTCTCCCCTGGCAATGCCATAGTAGATAACTTGGTCCAAATAGGACAGATAACCTAGAAATGTGCTCCTTGAAACACGGATATGCAAAGAGGACTGTGCCTTTATCTTATCTTACTTTCTCTGTTCCATAACATCCTATTTCTCTGAGTTAAAAACCAAAATAGATTGACTGGATTTTTAGTCATGCCAGATCTTTTCCTCTCTAAAACCACAAGTTTATTATAAATTATAATGGAGAAAGGGGGGAGGTTGTAATAGTTGCCCATCAGTAACATTTTATTGATTGATTGATCTTTATCCCACCTTTATTATTTTTACGAATAACACAAGGTGGAAAACATACCTGATACTCCTTCCTCCTCCTATGTTTCCCACAACAACCCTGTGAAATGGGCTGGGCTGAGAGAGAGTGACTGGCGCAAGGTCGCCCAGCCGGATCTCATACTTAAGGTGGGACTAGAACTCACACTCGCCTGCTTTCTAGCCTGGTGCTTTAACTGCTACTAGACCAAATATGTCTCCATTTGTAATCATATAGGTTATTTGTTTTCCCCCCAATAGGTTTCGTTGCAACAAAGGTGAGATTGACGTCTAGAAGATGCCAGTTCCGCCTCCTCCAGCTCCGCCACCTCCCCCAACATTTTCGCAGGTAAGTTGCAATTTTAAAATAATAATAAAATTTCAGTGGAAGAGAGAGACAAGTTTGATGATCCTAGCTTGTCCTGTGAAAATAAAGCATGTTTAGGCTAGAAGACAGAGATAGATAGATAGATAGATAGATAGATAGATAGATAGATAGATAGAGAGAGAGAGAGAGAGAGAGAGAGAGAGAGAGAGAGAGAGAGAGAGAGAGAGAGAGAGAGAGAGAGAGCTTTTTTGTAAAAAAAAAAAAAAAAGGTGCCGGAACTCACACACGTCATACAACCCGCCTTGCCTACCCTACAAGGTTCCATCCAAAAAAGGTGCCGGAACTCCATTCTGGGTGTTCTATGACAAAAAAAGCGATAGATAGATAGATAGATAGACAGACAGACAGACAGACAGACAGACAGACTGACTGACTGACTGACTGACTGACTGACTGACTGGACTGGACTGGACTGGACTGGACTGGACTGGACTGGACTGGACTGGACTGGACTGGACTGGACTGGACTGGACTGACTGACTGACTGACTGACTCTTTCTGTTCTTGAGTTGTCCTGATGTACGGTGAGACAGTGTGGGGTTGTGGTTCACGTTTGGGAGCAGGGAAGCTTCCATTGAAGCTGATTTGGTGACTTTGGCACAGTTGTGCTTTCTCTCTCAGCCCAGCTATTCTCAGGGAGGTTGTTGTTGAACTTAGCTAGGTCTTCTATTGTGGTTTTATGTATCAGGATATACTGATAAAAATGCAATTTAAAAAGATATTACTATGATGTAGACTTTTGGTGACTCCTAACCTGGTGCATACATGAAGACATGGTATGTTTTGTTATGTTTGGATTTTATGTGTTATGCAAACCAAGCTACTAAGCTTCTTCAAGAAAGCTTTATTGGGAAAAAACCTTGGCTAAGCAGACCTGCTCAGCCATGTAATGATTAAAATAAATCATATACAGGATGAAAGTATATGAAAGGCACTCAACTGGCATTTGTTTTGGGAAAGGATCAAAAATATCCCCGACTACTCCCAAGTTAGTTAAAATCATGCTACATTTATGGAAGCTAACAAAGAAGCAATTATGCAAATGGAGATATGGAACTGGGACCCACTCAATGCTTCCCATAGAGATAGAATTGGATTCAGCATCTCTGTAGTAAGTCTCTCTGAACCTGTGTTTAAAGTACCTGCTAAACTTCTAGAGCATGTTTTGGAGGAGCGAAGATGTTCACCAAATTCACCGACAGCTTCTCCATTCTCATTAATCTGTTTATCCATAAAACAAGATACTATGATTTGCTTTAAGCATGTTTTGCTGAATTTATTAAACAATCTGCTAGGTTTGTAGAATGTACTCAGTCAGGCATCCATAACATTTTCTGTCTGGTGGGCATGTTTAAAATCTTCAGAGCAAGTAAACGGTTGCTAAGGGAAAGGATTACTGATTTACGAAATAGACAATATCAGGGCATGTAATCAATGGCACAGTAGTAGTAAATTAGCAAATGCAACTTGACACTCCTATCTCCCTTCTACCATAGGATGCTACTTACTATATATAATGGTAGGATGGGGTGGGTACCTTCTATAGCTGCAGCATAATCCTGAGAAAAGCCATTTTTGATTTAGGAGTTGCAGAAAGGTACTCTGTACACACTTTGAAAGTTCTGAAGCACCTATTTGCTTTTGAGGCACTGTAATGTATGGTGAGTACATGATTAATGACCATTTGTTCAGAGACTGTTCAAACATACAATAGTACTGAATGAGGAGACTTACCACCAATGACTTATTATGATTTATGACTTCTCAAAATTAGGAATTCAATTTGGGTGGAAACTGGCTCACATTTACAACAGTCATGGCACCCACAATCACGTAGTCACCATTTGTGACATTCATTGCTAGCTTCCTGCAAGCAAAGTCACTAAGAAAGCTGTCAGGAGGACCCAAATGGCAACTACTTGATGTCATGCTTAATGACCATAACTGGAATTGTGATGTGATGGTCATGTGATGTTGTACTTTATGTCTGCATCACTTTGTGATGAACTTCGCAATCTCAGTTACGGTCATTAACAAAGGGACACCTGTATTTGCATCTAGCGAGGCAGGTATCCATGGGCAGATTGATGTGTTGAGGCACCATGTTTGCAAATTCAACATAATAACTTATTATGACATATGAACCTAGACAACCATTTGTAAGTCACAAAATTATCCCTAATATTTTGCCCTCCAGATCAGAATCAGAAACATGCCTCTGATCGTGATTTATAGTCTGGACATTAAGCTTTCATCATAGTCTCCCAATTTAAATAAACCATTATGTTTAATGAAACATGCCTCTAATCATGGTTTATGGCCTGGACATTAAGCATTCATCATAGTCTTCTAATTTAAATAACCCATTATGATTAATAAGAAACAGAAAACTTCAGAGCATAACCCAGATTTCAGTTTACGGTAAATATTAATGAATCTGAACAGACCCAAGTTCCAATTTTAAAACTTTTCACTCCCTACTCTTCACATTGTTTTAATGCCTACAAAGTGCTGAAAAGAAGTTCAGCAGTGTNGGTAGATTGATGATAGAGAGTTACTCTTTTTGTTGGTTTTGTTGTTGTTTGTTCAGTTGGTTGCTTGTTGTTTTTCATATAGTTCTCTTTTGGGGGTTTTGTTCTTTTTGGGGGGGGGGTATGTTCTAAAAACTTGCTAAGATAAATAAAATAACCTTATTAAGATTTTAAACTATCATACATGCCAGGTGCCTTTTGGGATCCCAGTCTAGCCAAAAAGGTTTGCTGTCTTGAGTTGTCCTGATGTACGGTGAGACAGTGTGGGGTTGTGGTTCACGTTTGGAAGCAGGGAGCAGGGAAGCTTCCATTGAAGCTGATTTGGTGACTTTGGGATAGTTGTGCTTTCTCTCTCTCTCACTCTCTCAGCCCAGCTATTCTCAGGGAGGTTGTTGTTGAACTTAGCTAGGTCTTCTATTGTGGTTTTATGTATCAGGATATACTGATAAAAATACAATTTAAAAAGATACTACTATGATGTAGACCTTTGGTGACTCTTAACCTGGTGCATACATGAAGACATGGTATGTTTTGTTATGTTTGGATTTAATGTGTTATGCAAACCAAGCTACTAAGCTTCTTCAACAAAGCTTTATTGGGAAAAAATCCTGGCTAAGCAGACCTGCTCAGCCATGTAATGATTAAAATAAATCGTATACAGGATGAATGTATATGAAAGGCACTCAACTGACATTTGTTTTGGGAAAGGATCAAAAATATCCCCGACTACTCCCAAGTTAGTTAAAATCATGCTACATTTATGGAAGCTAACAAAGAAGCAATTATGCAAATGGAGATATGGAACTGGGACCTACTCAATGCTTCCCATAGAGATTTATTTATTTATTTATTTTTATTTATTTATTTTAATTTATATCCCGCCCTTCTCCCGACGGGACTCAGGGCGGCTCACAACATATTTAAAACAAAGGCATATATACAATCCCCCCCTGTAAAACCGAATTAAACCAAATTTTAAAGTTGTGTATATCGAATTCCTTAAAATGAACCCAGTATAAAATCCTCCCTAGGCCAGGTCCGCTTGCTGGAANATTCATCATAGTCTTCTAATTTAAATAACCCATTATGATTAATAAGAAACAGAAAACTTCAGAGCATAACCCAGATTTCAGTTTACGGTAAATATTAATGAATCTGAACAGACCCAAGTTCCAATTTTAAAACTTTTCACTCCCTACTCTTCACATTGTTTTAATGCCTACAAAGTGCTGAAAAGAAGTTCAGCAGTGTACACATCTGAACAGTTTCCCCCCCAAATAATTTAAAATGGCAGGGTTCTTATGTTCACCGAGAATATAGTAAATGAGGCAGATGAGAGCTTTTCTGTCTAATCTTCATCTTCAATTTAATGTAACTGAATAACAGAATGATAGAGTTGGAAAGGACCTTGGAAGCCTTCTAATTCAACCCCCTGCACAGGCAAGAGGTCCTATACCCGTGGTGGCGAACCTATGGCACGCGTGCCACAGGTGGCACGCAGAGCCCTCTCTGTGGGCACATGCACCGTTGCCCCAGTCCTAGGCCTTCAGCTGAGTTTTATAAAACCTGTTCGCTTTAGGCCTCCGCCGCCATGTGCAAAAAAAAAAAAAGGTTCAATCAATCAATCAATTTCAACTTCTCGCAGGAAAAAAAAAGAACTCGCAAAGTTGGAATTGATTGATTGAACTTTTTAGTCCCACCCAGTCTGCCGTTACCACCGCAGCCACGCTCACCCAATGGGCTACGCCCACCCAATGGGCCATGCCCACCCGGCACCCGATGATACGTAAGTGGGTTTTGGGTTGCAGTTTGGGCACTCGGTCTCTAAAAGGTTCGTCATTACTGTCCTATACCATTTCAAACAAATGGTTATTCAATCTCAAAAACTTCCAGTGTTGGAGCATCCACAACTTTGGGGGGCAAGTTGTTCTATTCATTAATTGTTCTGTCAGGAAATTTCTCCTTAGTTCTAGGCTGGTTCTCTCCTTGATTAGTTCCCATCCGTTGCTTTTTGTCCTGCCTTCAGGTGCTTTGGAGAGTAGCTTGATTCTAGGGTTGCCAGGTCTGCTTCCAAAAAATAGCGGACAAGCGGGGGGGGGGGGTTAAGTAGTAAAAAAAGTAGACTGTACAGCTTTAGATTACGTACCATTTCATCATAAAGCTTTTGAATAAAAAATGTCCATTATTTTGTGGAAAAAAATAGTGAACATAATGTGAAAAAAGTGGACTGTCCACTCAAATAATGGACACCTGGCAACCCTACTTGATTCCCTCTTCGTTGTGGCAGCCTCTGAGATATTGGAACACTGCTATCATGTAAATATTATAGAAATTTAATTTCTATAATAACAAAATTATTATAGGATAACTTTAACAATAACAAAGGGCAAGAACGTTGTGCAAGATTTACGCTGGGGATGGGAGATTGTGGTAGGGGGTAAAATATACTTCTTTACTTAAATTTTGAACAAACACGAGTCAGCTTTTAAGACAGTTGAGAAAATTTAAGCTGTTTCATCTTACTCTTGCAAATGTTTTCATTAAACTTTATTATAGGCTGGTATTTCTGTTAAGAAAATATAGTTTAGATTTTTCTAGCAGCACGCAGCAGATTTTAAACAGAGGTTGCAAGTTTGTAAAATTGGAAATAGTTATGCAGCTGTTTGAACTGGCAGATGAAAAATCAAGTGGTTTTAATAAAAAACTATTGTAATCAACAATTTTGCTCCTCTACAAATAAAGCCAGGAAATCCTATGAGATTATCCATTAATCTAAAAGTGTTAGCTTATAGAAAATAAGTCTGTGCAAACATGTCTTTCCAAATTAGCAATTTTTTAAAAAGTATATTTTCCTCATAGACTTATTTATATTAGTATTTGAATGTCTGCTTTAATTTAAGTCCCTGGACATCCAGAGATGGATGAATAACAGGGCTGGGCTTATTCAACTTTTTACTTCTTTCTTGTTCGTTAGTTAGTTTATTTATAACATTTATATAGCTGCCCTTCTTATAACCAATTGCATCTTTAGAGTCCCATATATCTGCCATCTATGCTACATGCATTTACTTCAGCAAAAGAAATTTCCAGACTTAGTTAATTAGCTGAGCTTCTCATTCATAAATACTGATCAGTCTAGAGCAGGGGTCCCCAACCCGGCCGCAGCATGCCAGAAACCAGGGTGCACGAACAAGTAAAGTCCCACCCGCGGGATGCAGGCAGCACGCGAAACCACGCCCCCTCCGATCCACAGAAAAACTCCATGGAACCGGTCCCTGGTGCCCAAAAGGTTGGGGGGGTCACTAGTCTAGAGGTATTCCCATTCTGGACAAGTAACGTTATACTATCCCCCAAAGCACAGAAAAAGAGTAAGAAATAATAAGCCAAGCAACTTGAAGGCATGATATTAAAAAAGAAAAAGAAAATCTAATTAAATCTAGTTTACACCAATACATTTCATTATATCGCTCCACATATTTCTGTCTTTCCTTCCACCATGTCCCTGTACCACTTCATGTATTGTCTTTTGCTATTGTTTTTCTCACCTCTCCCTTTTTGAGGATGTCAGTAATTCATTTCCAACATGACTTTCTTTTACCATTTTTATGGTTAAAGATAACTGGTTTGGTCTTTAGTACGTTCATTTTTAGACACACACACACACACACACACACCATTTCTTCTTTGCTTCATAGTATCTATTTAATATTTGCTGCTAATCACTTGAGTTCTTAATCACCTACACAGCATCGTCTCCCTATAAAATGGATATATATCCATGTTCCCAATTCACACAGGTATCACCATGAGCATGAGTATACATTTAGCCATAATACAATCTCAGCCTCGTCTTTCACGCTGCTCAGTGTTGAGCCATTGGTTAAACATTCAGTTTACACCAGTCTACACTCATCTACATATTTATGCAAAATATTCAAGCCTATTCATTTTTGTAATGTTTTCTCTGTTATCAATGCAACTTTCTCATATCTACATACTTCTCTATAACCTTCTGAAAGGCAAACATTTGGTGTGTGTAATCATTGTCCCAGGCTGAGTATGTTGAAGGCTGGTGCCAAGCTTAGCTTATCCCCACACTGGCGTTGCCATTGATCCCGCCATCAGATGCAGGTCTAGGACAACTCTCCATAGCCAACTCGCCAATTCCTCGTGGCCAATTCGCTACGGCAACTTGCCGTGGAACAAGAGTTACACTAATATCAGAGAAATGTTGGAATATAATCATTAAAGAAAGGCTGCCAAAGGAGAGACAAAATGAAATGTAAATGACAAAAATTAAAATAATGTGTAAAATATTTTAAACAATTAAATTGAATTGTTGAATTGTTCTGCGATGAGTTGGCCACGACGAGTTGTCCTATGGCGAATTGGCTGTGATGAGTTGACTGTGGGGAGTTGTCCCATTCCGATCAGATGCTGCCCTATCAACTATGATGCTAAAAAGTATCTGCTGGAAGGAATCCTTAAACACCATTTTTTCTTTATCCTTACTGTATAGGCATCCTTTTTTTCTTCTTCAGCAAATGATTACCAGTTTTTCTTTTTGAAATGCTGTTTTTGAAATAAATTACCGGTGCAACACCTCTTCATACCCCTTTTCATATACACATGCGTGTGTGCAGGCACACGCATACACGCACGTTGTTTGACAAACCTCACACCAAACATTCATTCTGAAGTGACCATTTTGCTATGTGATGGTAAGCTATTCAAACAGAGGATAATAAAAAGATTTCAACACTGTATTTTTGGGAATGGGGCTTGCCAAATTTCTTCTGTACTATTTGCTACCAAGAAAAATGGCATGAGGTCATTCCAGAGTTAAGCTTGACTCAAATATGTCTTTAGTTTTAAATTGGTACTATTTTATATTAGTAAATATAATTCAAGAATACATGGATTTGTGGAAAGAGATCATAGTTTTAAAGATCTCGTCCTAAAATAAATAAAAGTCCAAGATACTAGTAATTGTTTTTCAACATGATGTATGTTCTCCAGGCTGTGCTGATGGAGAGTAGGTACGCTAGGTAACACTGTTGAAATTGATCAGAATTTGGGAGTTACTGTATCCATTTAATCCAGATCTTACCGAGTTGTCAGTTGATCCAGCTAAATGTTTCATTCATGTGCAAACAATAAAGCTCTATAGGAAATCATGAAGCTCTGATGCGAGAAAACGAGCTGATTTCGGAAAGAAATATTCTGATTTAAGTGCTTCTGTCCTCGTTCTAATATTTTGTATTTTTACTTTGCAGGCAAACACAGAGAAGCCCAGTTTGAACAAAACAGAGCAGTCAGGACGAAATGCTTTATTGTCAGATATTACCAAAGGGAAAAGGCTGAAGAAGGCTGTTACCAATGATAGGAGTGGCCCAGTTCTTGATAGTAAGTATATCCTTTTAGTCTATATACCAAACGAATGACTCATTGGGATCCCCATATCAAAACAACTTACCTTATGTGCGGCCAGAACTTGAAAATAACATTTAACGCAGCACAGTATTTAAACAAAATGGTTCGGTTGAGATCTGCATACGTGGGACTGATTGGGGTAGATTTGCAAGGGTGACTCCAAGATATCATTTTATCATATTTTATCTATATTTTAAACTAGCTGTACCCAGCGACGCGTTGCTGTGGCTCAGTCTGGTTAAATGGAAAAGAAAAAAAAGAGAAAGCGCACGTTTGTAATTGCTTTTACGTCCAACAGATGGCGCTGTTTTTCAAAAAAAGCATGTTTTTACCTGTCACAGGTGTGACATCTATATAATAGTAGGTATATAAAAACACGCGCGTATTCGAATGCAACGTTGTGTCAAAATTTCAAAGCAATCGGTGAAGAACTTTCGGAGATTTAAGATTTTGAACAAACGAACGTTTACATTTTTATTTATATAGATTACTGTACTCTATTTTAACTTCATTTTAGACTGCATTTTACTCCAATTTCATCTTAAGTCATATTTTACTCTAGTTCCATTTTAAACTGTATTTTATCAAATTTTATTTTAAATTGCTTTTATCAGACTTTGGTAATGATCTGTTGTTGGAACTTTGCACTTTGATATGGCCTAAGGGCTAATCAATAAAGATTTATTATTATTATTATTATATCCTTCTAGTGCAGTGTTTCTCAACCTTGGCAGCTTGAAAATGTGTGGACTTCAACTCCCAGAATTCCCTAGCCAGCCAATTCTGGGAGTTGAAATCCACATATCTTAAAGTTACCAAGGTTGAGAAACACTGTTCTAGTGGAGTAGCTGAGTCTGTAAGCCTGAACTCTGGAGATCTTGAACTTTCCTTCCCAGAGATCCCCCAGAGCTACTTGGCTCTGCCTCCTGCTTTGGAAGAGTCTCTTGATAGTTGCCTCTGTTACCATCTGTCTCCCAGGGATGTGTCAGCTGGTGTTCTCTCCCCTAATCATTGATGAATTTTAAAAAAAGAGTTAGAGAGGAACTTCTTATGCAAGTCATAAAGACTCTAAAGTAGCGGTTCTCAACCTTTTTAATGCGATCCCCAACCGGTCGTAAGTCAAGGACTAAACCGGTCATAAGTCAAGGACTAAACCGGTCGTAAGTCGAGGACTACCCAACCGGTCGTAAGTCGAGGACTTTCCCTGCCCGGGAGCGCCGCAATGCGTGGTTCCGCCCCCTGCGCCGGCCGAGGCGTAGCTGGCAAGCGGCAGAGACAGAGCAGGCCGACCACCAGCTGGCCCAGCCCAAGGGAGGTAAGGCACCTGCCGGAAAAGGGGGAAAAAATGGCGGACAGCCTTGCTTGGCGACCCCCGTGAAATGGTTGATCGACCCCAAATGGGGTCACGACCCATAGGTTGAGAACCGCTGCTCTAAAGACATAAAGACTCTAAAAAGAGAATATTAGTCCTGCAGAAATATATATAAAAATCTGAAATACACTCAATTACAGAATTTACACAGAACAAGAAAATAGTCAGGGAATTTAAAAAGCAAAAGGGAAACAAACAACAAAGTTCTAAGTCCACCTTAAACTTGTGATCTGTTCCTTCAGAAATAGAATCGTCTTCAGATCAGATATTTCTTATATTTCCTTTTTCCTTGAAAAATTACAAACTGTAATCTGAGCTGTGAAGAACAATGTAAAAGCCTTCATTTCGCAGCCTCAACATTCAGCAGCTTTGGCTTTGGTTTTAAAAACGAACAAAAATATTGTGCCCTGAATGACAAATAAAAGCATTTCTCCTTCAACAAGATATGGATGGAGATACCTAGAATAGCTCTCTACGAGAATCTGGGCCTGCAGTCTGTGCATTCAGAACACTTCAATAATATATGAAAGAAATATGGTTTTTAGTTTTCTCAGAACCAGTCTCTGTTTTGCCTTTCTAGCAATTAAAATATCAAAGATGGTAATACTTGAAAATAATTTATATAGTAACCTCCTCAGTTTCTACTTGTGTAACTGGAGGTTTCAACCATTCCTCTGTCCTTAGAGGGCAGACCGATCTCACCAGAGAGAAACAGAATAAAAATTTCATTAAAAGAAGGAGAGAAAAAAATAGCCTTTAAATTTTAAATATTCATAATGCAAACATTTAATAGTGAAACAGGTACGTTACCCAGTTGTTCATATCGTAGAAAAACAGCCACGTAAATAAAAAGGAGAAAATGCTCCCAGCAGACCACAAGATGTTGGATTTCTCAATCCCAAAGAGCCCTAGTAAAAATATGGGAATTTTTCTATTATTATGAATACCATTGTCATTATCATCATCCTTAAAACATATTAATTTGTTTGAATTACATCTGAGGTATAACTCTAAAGCTGACATAAAACAGAATTTCCTAATTTTTACAGAGGTAATTTATTCTAAGATAGAATCCAAGGAATTCTGTTTTCCTTCTTAGATTTCTTCTTACCTAGAAATGCCAAACATTTATCTGAGGTTGTGGGGAGATATTATTCCTAACGATCTGTATGTAGCCATTCCAAGGACTTCAGTTTACATGATTTCCAGCGCTCGTGATGAAAGATCGTACTACTAGCTGAACATTATGAGAACTGAAGTCCAACACACAGCTGCAAAGGACCAAATGGGGAGAGGTTGATTTGGTGAGTTAGCATCACAGACTTAAATAAAGTAATTGCTGTAAACTAAACTAAACTTCTGCTAATTAAAATTCTTAATTAATACGGTTACGATATCAAAACTCCAGTGGTAGAATCTAAAGCAATTTTCTGTTTAGGGGCAGACTGGTTGTTATTGAATTTAAGCCAGATATAAATAGCCAGCAAATTATTTGTGGATTCAGAATCATGGCTTAAGAGCCCTTCAACTTCCTCTCTTTGCAGAACCCAAAGGGCCAGGCGGTGGCGGAGGTGGCAGCTCTGGTTTCTCCAGTGGTGGAGGTGGCAGCTGTAACAGCGGTAATAGTTATGGTGGCGGTGGACCACCTGGCTTAGGAGGATTGTTTCAGGCAGGGATGCCGAAACTTAGATCTACAAACAGAGATAATGGTAAGGACGAGGTGTGCATTCCTAGAAACACAGTACCTTGGACTGACTATACTTAACTATTTATTAAATCAGTGAAGACAAAAACTCAAGGAAACATTCTTCTCCTATCACAAATGAACAGTGGTTTCTCTCATACAAGATATTTAGTTAACTTCCTGAGTGCTGCAGGCATGACAAGGAAGGGGCCTCACACCTTTTCCAAGCCGAAAAAACCCGCAGGTTTGCCTCAAAGTGCCACAAGAGTCTTCGCTTTTGGTCCATTGTAATGCCTATATTGAGTTATACAGTTGTTAATAGATCTTGTGCACCTGAAGCTGAACCTTGCTCCTTTACCCCACCCTAGATGTTCTTGGCACAATTGCTTTTTGTTATCAAGCATAGAAGTATGGAAACAGCACATAAATCCTTTTAAAAAAAAATGTTGTCTCAGTATTCATGACTTAGGCATGTCCCCACTTGTACCTAACCACAGTCCAAACATGCCCTGACCTCATTTGTTTCTCTGCGGGGTTCCCATGGTGCTGCCTTCACTTTATTTCCAAACCATTAATGGCAAACTTAAGCCATCTATAGCTGTTATGTAGTATTCCCCGTCCCCAACACATAGATACTTAAATGATTGATTATGTGGCATTAAGTAATTATTGACTCTTAGCAAGATAGACTTCCTCTATGTCCCTAACCTAGTCCTTCAGTCTTCAAATGCCACACCCATTCCTACTCTAGAGAGCTAAGTCTTAACATAATAAGTCCAAAGGAGGGGGGGTTTAAGGCTCGCCATTTGCGCTGACATTATTCAAAGTCAACTTTAGATTGCATAAAATCTGTTAGGTTTTATTGCCCATTATCAGGGAGAAAAATTGTGTGACTAGAAATAGAGGTGGCAGAGTTGGAACAGGGTTTGGCAATGGGAACAGCCTGGGTTATGCCAATATAGTTTTCTGCTTCACTCCAGGGTAGATAGAAAGTACTTTTTAACTCAGTTGTGTGGAAAGGATAATTAAGCCAGGATCTTCAGGATTCACCATTGCTTTTTTTTCCCCCTGCCTCTTTCTTATCTAGAGAACTGTATTTCGTTGCTCCATTGCATTCAGTTGCTTCTGCCTCTTTATTTTATTCATCAATAATTTATATCCTGCTTTGCAAAGTTCGAGATGCTAGCCGTGAGATGTTTCTGTTTTATCTACACAATAATTCTGTGAACTTGGTGAAGTGACTTGTCCAATTTATCCAGCAACCCAAAATCCATCAGTTCAGCTTTATAATAGTGTATTTTCCAGGCTGCACTGACTTGTTTAATGAGTTGGAGTAATATAGTATATTAGTTGGATTTGCATACCACACTAAACCATAATGCTGGTTTGATTTGGATTTAGCGTGTTGTGTGTAAATCTTAATTTATGACTTAATGTATGTGCAGTGAACCCATTGGTTAAATTATGGTTTAGTATGAAGTGTGAACCCAGTCAGGAAATTGTGAAAGTTAGTAGTAACCTGCTATTAGACTGACTTTTATTTAATTGCTTTTATTGTCCTGGTATCAAACTTTGGAATAGTATGCCTGAAGAAGAGTGATGGGTTTATTTTAGTTAGTTTAGATGCTTATTCACCAATTTTCTTTTTTAAAAGTCCAACAGATTTTCATAATAGCAGTATAAAATTCCAAGATGGCAAAGAAAATAAATAAAATAAAATAGTGGACAAATTTCCAAAAAGCAATATACATTGTACCGCATGATTTATTGTTTTCCTGACACTTGAATACATTTCTTGGCCAGAGAATATAAGCCAGGGAGTTTACAGGAAGGCAGAATTGTACCTTCTTTGTTTGTAAGCATATGAATGAAGTAGCACTGTTAAAATACCTAAAGTGCACTTTCAACAAGTGGTGATATAACGGTTGTTCAAAGCCAGCATTATCTCTTATGTCAAAGCAACTTTTTATAGAACTTCCTTTTAATCTCATGGCACTTAACATGCCAGAGTTTCTTTTGAGAGGTTGCCTTTTCCCCTTCAGGAAATTCAGGAATAGTCAAGAAATGCCTTTGCCCTTCCCTCCCGTTTTATATTGTACTGAACGTAGAACTTTTCAAGAGCTACAAAGCAGATCTAATTATACTTACTGAAATTAACGTAGA